ATATATAAATCAGATTGGTTCATAAAATGTACCGTTGGATTCATCTCTTCGAGACAAATCCATAAAAATAAGTTTTTAACAAAAATTCATTATTTTGAAAATCCATGCATTTTTGGTCAAACGTATAAATATTCCTTGTTGGACCAAAATGATATTCAAAACTACTTTTGATTTATAATGAATTTTAGACCATATTTTGTACCGTTACAACATGTGTACTCCTCAATTATGTGTGCCATACATAACAATAATGGTGAAATGTATTTTGTCTCAACCTAAGTCATGGCCATAGGTAGGGTCGAGCCTGAGAATTCGATGGCCTGGGTCGAGACAGAAAAGGCCTTAAAGGTGATATCCCTAATGTCTTAACGAACTAAAGTGTATAAACTAATTATATTTAAATGATAATTAACATCATAGTATAATACTTTGTAACGAAATAAGTAAATAACACACAAAATTATAGTAAAGGGTTTATAAATACTTGCCCTCGTAAACCAATATCTTAAAAATTGGACCAAATGTCATCGCCTGGACGAGCTAGTGGGTCAAGGGCTAATCAGTCAATCTGAGGGTCAACGACCCGGTCAACTATAATTAAAAGAATAATATTTATATTATATTACTCTCTTTATCCCAAATTATATTGCTTGTTTACTATTCACATGCGACCAAACTTTATTCAATTTATTTTCCTATTTTTGTTAGTCATTTGATTAAAAAAATATAGTCATGTCACAAATAGTTTTATACATCTTTTAATGTAGTTTTTAAATATGAAATTTTTATTTTTAATTTTAAACTATTTTTCATATAAAATGATTTAAAAATAACTTCAGTAAACATCGTAAATCGAAACAAGCAATTTCAATTGGAACGGAGGGAATATTAGATATTTTCAATTAATAAGGAATTTTAATTTGTGCTTTCACACTTCCATTTAATTTTTAATTATGTTACATATGCTGTCACATGTTCTATTTTCTATTTGTATTATTTTTTTATTGCTGCCAAAGATAAATACTGAATATCTAATAAGTACTAAAATAGTAAGGCAGTACTCAGTTTTTTTAAAAAAAAGTAAAGGCTACTCTGCATTTTTTTTGGGAAAAAATTATTTTTTACATAAAAGTATTCATATTTATTTATTTGTTTTTTGAACTATTTTTATAATTTCATTAAACAAGTATACTATTAGATACTACTTGTGTGACTAATGTAACAACAAGTTTAGTAGTTCAAGTGTATGGAATGTCTCTTAATTAATACTCCAGAATGCTTAGGTTTGTCAATCACTTTATGACTATTCGCATTTATAACTTTTTATGAATGAATTAATAACATGGTTTTCAATACATATGAAAAAATTGGGCCCCTTAGAGTATTGGGTTCGGTCCGGTTGTGACGAATGTAATAACAATTTTAGTAGTTCAAGTAGATGGAGTGCCTCTTAACACTCTAAAATGCTCAGGTTCGATACTCACTCTAGACTATTGGGATTTATAATTTTTTATAAATGAATAACATGTATACATCCTTTATCCTTTATATATCCTTTATATATAAATATGAGAGCTTGATGCATAAGAGTTTGACATGTGGCACAATATGGGGCATACATGTGGCAAAATATGGGGCATATTATGTGGCATTTGATTTATGAGCTAGATTAAATATTATTTGACATTTGATCAAACTTTTATTTTTGGTCAAAAAATAAAATTATTAAAAATAAAATTTTTTAATAAATCCTTTATATTAAATTATTAAGAATAAAAATATTCAATAAATCCTTTATAATAAAGTGATTAAACTTTTATCCTTAGAAAGTTGGCATGTGCATTTTTTATGTGGCTTTTTACACCTAATATGACACGTAATTTAAGACATAAAATATGTAAAACAATTTTGGTATGAAATCTTTGAATAAATTTAATTATGAAATATTTATATTCATTTTTATAATAATACTTTCTCATGATTCAATATTTTTTCTTCATTTCTAATAAAATTTTCAATTACTTAATACACTACTCTCTTCGCCTCTAAATAAATTTCCTTACTTCTCCTACTAGCGTCCTTTCTGCAACTCCAATCCCTAGATGCCGAGTGGAGATGCTGAGATGCCGAGACTCTGAGTGTGGACGGGGAGCTGATGATGATGAGACGATCGACGATGGTTGCAACTCTTATACCTAGATTAGATCTAGGTTTTGAGGAGGAGAATTGGAAGAGAGACGAAGATAAGAGGGAGAAAGAATGTCGATAGAGTGGGAAGGTTGGGGAATAAATGTTGTAAGGGTAGGATAGTCATTTTACACCCTTTTTTGGAATGTGGGAAGGTAGTTTTAGGACATTTAAAATGAAGAAGTAAGAAGATAGTTTTAGGATGGAGGGAGTAATATATATCTACAATGAATGAAAATCAGAGGAAGATATACGACGATAAACATTTTATGTTTTGTTATGACTATGATAAAAGTCAATGTCAAATATTATCATTTATTAGATTATTTTTAACTGGTCTGAAGTTCACTCTTAGTTAACTTTATGTCATTGTTTCATGAGTAAAAACTAATATAGGGTTAAAAATAATAGTTCTAAATAATAATGAAAATTCTTGCAACCACACCAAAATATTACGGAGTATATTCTCCGAAAACTTTCAAAAAATATGAATTTTAAAAAGACTTTGAGGTGTTTGCTTTTGAATTTATATATAAGCATTTTTATAACCAATTATTAAATGCCAGATTATTTGTTTTACTTTGATTTTAATGTCTACAGTGTTAAAGAACACATTACATATATTTATATACTCATTGAAAAATATTACGTTGAAGATAATTCAATCATGTGCGTGGCACGGGTTAAATTACTAATATGAAAAAAATTAGGCCCTTAGAGTATTGGGTTCGGTCCGGTTGGCCTGCTTGGCCCTCCCCTGGACCGGCCCTTGCCATAGGTAGTGTGACTCTGCATGAGTCCTAGACTCCTAGTTAAGATTGTGAGCAACGATGAATTGGTCGGACTTTAATAATAAGAGTGACTAAATGATTAATGATGTGACCTACATTGCCAGTGTGTATATTTGAAGTGTTTGATATTCTCATTGATCTTCATCGCTAAGCGTGTACTTATTGTTTACTGCACGCACGTAACAGTAATGAACTTGTGCCAATCCCGGAGGGAAGCAAGGATGGGGTGTACGGATGCGTAGTTAAGGGTTTCAGTTTAGTAATTATCTCAGTTTGTGAACTTATTATTTTTTGAAACATGAACACAAAGTTGTGTTTTGGATAATTACTATTTTGCTTCCGCACCGTTTTACTTCACTCTAGTTCTAAATATCATTTAGGACTTTATAAAATAGAAACTATTTTATAAAATTTAAATAAATATCAAATTTATATCATGTATAATTTTATTGTGCATAAATAACTAATAAAATAATACTCCGGGTAAATAATAATGTAATATGAGAAATTCAGAAAAAATTAAGTATATAATAATACTCCCTCCGTTCCACAAAACCCTTCCGGTTTTGACTTTGGGAAAAAATAAGGAAAGTGTAATTTTGGTTGACTTTCCAATTTTGCTCCTGATGTGATGGGAAAAAGTAAGATGTGATAGTTTGGTTATTAGTGAAAAAGTATGATGTAATAGATAGGGTATGAAAAAGTATGGGTAAAAGTGGTTTTTTAATAGAAAGTGGAAGTGTTGTGTGGAAAGAAAAAAAACGAAAGAGGAAGAGTTTTGTGGAACGGAGAGAGTATTTGAATAATGAGGGTATCACATTGTTATAAATGAGAATTGAGAAATGATAGAAATATAGAATATTAAGATTTTAAGATTAGAGAGAGTACATAGTAAGAAACGGACCAAAAACCATACCGCTGTTTCCAAGACCTCATATCTAAAATCGGAACCGGTCTCCAACCCCACGGTTCACCGACCCGTCCCCCTTCGATGCGGCTCCAAAACTACCGATACCGGTACATAACCGGTACCATGTGCACACATATAATAGCCTCATATTTGCCAACGTCAATTCCATCACCAGATAAGCATGAGAAAAAACAGCACATAAAATGCATCATCCCGACGGACGGACGTGTTGACTTGGCCATGCATCATGTCACATTATTACTTCATTACTCCCACTAGCATTTCAATCTGTTTAGTGTATGGCACTGATGAATGACTTTTCAACTTCTAGAGTTAAATATAAGTCTATGAAAAGAAAACTTATAAAAACAGTTATAAAGACCAAATCGCAGTTTTAAAAAACAGACCGGCCACTAAACCGGTCAAGGCACTGATTCGCTGGTCGGATCAGTAGCTCGAGTGGTTGAACCAGTGGTCATATGTGTGTGTGTGTGTGATAATTGACAAAAGTTATGATCAAAAAATAAAATTTACATATTTTAAACAATAAAATAGTTATTAGAAAATAAGAGGTTATTTTAATTTTTCAAATAAGTTAACTCGATATTAAAAAAACACTCAAATGAAATATTTGCATGGATGCATTTTGAATAAAATAAAATCCTTAAGAATCTTTATTTTTTTAACAATTAAAAATATATAGAAGGTTTACAACTTAATTAGATCTCTAAGAGATTGTGTGTTCGAACCCCATTTTAGATATACTTTTTTAAAAACTAATTCAGAAAAAGAAAAAAAACCGGTTTGCCCAGTCTTACCGGCCTTTTCTGACCGATTCGGACCAGTTCAATGTATATTATGCTTCAGAAGATTGGACCGGACCGATTGGACCACCAGTTGGCCAATTCGTCTCCCATTTTTAAAACTATGGACCAAACCAAACTATATTCTGACCCGCACGAAGTTTCCGTACGCGCATTTCCCCCCTCAACGGCCCACAAACCAATCACTTTTCCGCTGTTTTGTTCCCATTCCCCCTCCCATCCCCAACTATGTATACTCCGTATATTTATATGCATGCCCAAACACATGTATCACATTATCCTCAATATATAAATATATTTTTTTGGCTGCACATTGAAAGCAACATTATTATTTCTTAAGCTTAATTAATTCCAATGAAGCAAGAGGAAGTGTTTCGCCCGGGCAACACCAAGAACAAGAATTCGACGTTTAAGAGGTTGTTTAAGAAGATGTGCCGAAAGAGATCAATGAAAGGGGAGGAAGCAGGTGACTTCCGCCACCGGTCTAGCCTTTCTACAAGCTCTTTGTCGTCGTCGGCACAAGATGGGAGCGGGACCCGCTTCGAGAGGCGGGTTTTTGCATTCTTCGACGAGGACGGAGATGGGAGTGTTTCGGCTTCAGAACTGCGGAGGGCGGTGTGGGCGGTTGGAGGGGAACTGACGGAGGAGGAAGCGGAGATGGCGGTGCGGTTGTCGGATTCGGACGGGGACGGGATGTTGGGTTTCGAGGACTTCGTCAAGTTGATGGAGGGAGGGAAGGGTGGGGGTGTGGAGGAGGAGGAGGAGGAGTTGAGGGAGGCTTTTGGGAAATATGAGATGGAGGGGAGAGGGTGCATTACTCCATTGAGCTTGAAGAGGATGTTGGGTAGACTTGGGGAGTCAACCACCATTGAGAGCTGTGAAGCTATGATTAGGAGATTTGACCTCAATGGTGACGGAGTTCTTTGCTTTGATGAGTTCAAGATCATGATGGCCTAGCCTAAACATGTTCTTTTCGTGTACGTATGGTTCAATTCGATCAATTCTTTTTTGTTTAGTTTCAAATAACGGCACTGTAAATCATCAATTAAAAAAATGTAAACATGTTCTTAAAATTTCATGTATGTATCATTCAATTCTTTTGTATAGTTAAAGTAATGGCATTATTTCTATATTAATAATGTCAGGGTATAGTTTCCTTGAATTTTGAATTGGTATTAGTTTGTTTCATCATTCATTTGAATGGGTTTTGCTTATTGTGTCGAAGTAATTTTGATGAGCTTATAAATATATTGCCCTACGAACACAAAAAAGGAGGTTGTAACCATTGTTTAAGGATGAACTATACAAATGAATATTACCTCTTCCGCCTAGTTGTAGCAAGTTGCTCGCAGTAGTTGGTTAAATAGGAGTATAAATACTACAGCCATGGCGCACAGTTTGTTGGACTAGTAAGAGGGAATTGAATTTAATGGAGGTCGTCAACTGCATTGTTGTCGGCAAGCAGCAGAAGGTTAAGCTCCATGACTGACCTTTGGATATCACGGAGGTCCTCCTCCACCTTCTCCAATAGCAAGCACGACTGCAACAGTTGATTCTTCCTAGTCGCCGCCATATCTCTCCGCCTCTTCAACTCCTCCATCTCCTCCATTTCCATCCGCATTTCCTCGTCCAAAATCGACATCTCTTCATCCTTCATGGCAGCCTCAAACACGCACTGCTGGTACTCGGCGATCATGCTTCGAATTTCGTTCTTCCCCTCTTCCATCATCTCCACCACCATTTCCTTCTCGTGCCTGATGGTTTGAACCCTGTTTTCCATCTCCTGTGCTGAAACAGAGCACTTTCGCACCTCTTTCTCGACATACTGGATGTGACCGTCCACCTTCGCCATTTTCCTGTTCAGATCATCGGCTTCTGCTCTCAACGTCGCCAGTCTATCTTGACTCTGCTTTATCTCGTTCTGTGTCTTTGTCTTCTCCTCCGCGCACTTGAGAAGCTCGGTGGCTTTCCCGCTCACGTGCCAACTCATTTGGGAGGAGGTGACGGTGGGGCCCACATCGGGTTTTCCAATGTTGTCTATGGAAAACAGAACCCTGTCGCTTTCCAGTCTTTGGTTCTCTTCCTCCAGTCTCCTTTTCAACTTATCTAACTGGTCCCTCAATTCGGATTCTGACTGTTTGGCTCTTGTCTGCAAGCCCATAAGTTCATCCCTGGAGGCTTGTAATTGAGCTAACTCGGCTTTCTTTACATTGAGATGTGTTAGAGAGGCATTCCACCTCTCCGTTGCTTGAATTTCATGGAGCTCAAAGTAACCTATTGAAGAAGAGAAGCTTGACAATGAGTACCTCAGTGCAGATAGCTTTTTCTCCACTGTGTCTTTCTTTGCTAGCAATTCCGAAGACGTGATCATAAAGGACTCATAGCCTTGATGTTTTGCCCGGATGCTCTCTTCTAATCCCACCATTCTTCTTGAAAGCTCATCAATCTCAAGAAACTCTCTTTCCAGTGCGCCAAACATGCTCACTGTGTTGGTGGATTTCAGTAGCTTTTCGTGTGCTTCGTCAAGCTTCCTTCTGACCAACTCTTTGCCTTGTGTTTCTTCAACATTGCAGAAAGGAAGTTCATCAGAATCTGAATCATTGCCTGTGTATGAACGGACTGAATATTGACTGTATTCATCTTGTACATTTACTTCAATCATGCTAGTCTCCTCAAATGTTTCTTCTTCTTTTGGAATCCCAGACTCGCTATTATTTTGCTCACCTAAATGAATATTAGGAAATTCCTCTTTATTCTCAATTGTTTCCTTCTTGGTGGAAGAAAGCAACCTTTTGAAATCGTCTCTCTCTTGCATTGCTTTCTCGTAAAGGCCCATCAGTTTCTCATTCTCTTCGTGCATTTCAGCAAGTTGAGGGTCTGTGCATTTAACCTCTTCTCTCTTCATTTTCTCTTGCACAGCATTCTCATAAAGACCCATCAGTTTTTCATTTTCTTCATGTATTTCCCCGAGTTGATGGTTTAAGCGCTCAACTTCCCCTCTCAACCGTTCCTTCTCTGCAGTATCTTCAGATGACTGACAATCATGTGGGTTTGCACTACTCTTCTCCACAACCGCTTGTTCATAAAGTTCTATCAATTTTTGGTTGTCCTCAATTAACCCCTTGATCTTCACTTTTAGTTCATCGTTTTCTTTAGACAAGGAAATAGCGGTTTCATGAGCTTCGGCTTCTCTTTGGCTTGCAGCTGCAATAGCATTAACCATTGTCGCAAGTTCCACCTGATCACAGACCCCAATACATGGCAGCTGGCAGTTGTTCGCTAGAGAAGAAGGATCAGGTTGCACTTTCTGAGACTCCTCCAACATAGCTGCTTTAGAGGATTTCTCTGAGTCTAGCTCTTTCACCAAGTCTCTTAACTGCCTGCAAGAGTGATGGAGAGCAGGATGTCAATTTCACATTCTATTATTAAGCATGATCATACAATCAAACGTGAGAATTGGAAACCCCACCTTTCCAAATTTTGTTTCTCCTCAACACTAACATCAAGTTTTTTGCGGAGGACATCCAGTTCTGACTGATTATAAATAGCCTGAAACAATAAGTTTGTTATCGTTTCTAGTATAGGATTACAAGGTTGAAGGTTATACCTTGATTTCATATATTTTGCTTATTTTTATGAAGAAAAATGCAAATTTACCTGCAAGTGGAGGAACTCATTTTCCTCGTCAACTGCAGTATGCGTAGGTGGGGCTGGTTTCTGCAGTAGCAAATTTGAATAAAAATAACAATAATGACATCAGCACTTCGCTTATGTAAGCATTGATTGGGTTAAACAAGGAAAAAACTTATGTTTTGGCGTGAAGCAACAAATAAATTAAATTTTAAATACATGTCCTGAGAGGGCTAGTAAATGAACCTGGGTATCAAACATATCAGAGCCATGCATAAGTTTCCAATCCAGAGCTTCTCGCAACTGCAACAAGGGGGGACAAGGAATTTAGTTCCATGTTAACTTAGAAAACCGTCACATTGACCATCAGAGACTTATTTCTTAATATCTAGAGCTTATTGAAACGAAAACAATCAAAAATTTACATGAATATAAAGACAACCTTTTCAGAACTATGTACTTCCTAACTTATAGTAGAAAACACCACTTTTCATTTACAGAGTCGGTCGCTCTCCCACCATAGTCATAAAGTGCATTGATGACAAGTAACAAAAAGATTTTTACAGTGCTTGTGGTTGTGGCCCAAGAATGATTGTTATATACTCTAACACGCTCTCTCGCGTGCAGGCGTGACCTCTTTGAGCCTTGCACGTGAAACCTTAATTTTTTAAACTGGATGGCGGTGAGTTTCGAACTCGTGACCTCTTGGTCATCAAGGCTCCGATACCATGTCAAGGAACCAGCTCAACCAAAAGCTCAAGCTTGTGGTTGTGGCCCAGGAATGATTGTTATATACTCTAACAGAAGAGAAGAGCTGTCAGACCTGATTTTCGAGTATCATGATCTGCTCATTCATTCTTTCACGTTCACCTTCCTCATAGAAAGACTTCAATCTGTATTTTATGCAACAATTAGAAAGGAACCCCTATAAATCTTCATTAATGTGGACATGAAACAGTGAACCAACAATTAATCTTTAACTTGAGGAGACCAAAATATCATACTAATGTATATATACCTTCTGATCTCTTCTTTTAATCGCAAGTTTTCCATAGCGAATCTGGTCACTTCTTGGTTACGATCAACTTGGTTCCTCAGGACTTCTATTTCCTTCAAATGCTCCTCTTTCTCTTTCAACAAATGAATCTCGGCAGAGATTTTTCCAGAAGCTACTGATTCCAGCCTTTTGATTTTAGACTCCCTAAACCTTAGTATCATCTTCAGTCCTTGTATCTCATCTTCTCTTTGTTTTGCCTAACAATAACACATAAGCAAATCCCCAATATCAGATTCTTTTAGATGTCAGTTACATCTGGGTTATCTTTTTTCTTTGTTCAAAATTGGATATATGGAGCGTATTCAAATGGAAAAGAAATGAGTATACCAGCTGCATGGCTGCCTGATTTTCAGCAGTCAATGCCTGGATAGCAATGTCTTTATCCTTTTCCCTCCTGAAAGCTCCAACAAGGGCAGCTTCGTAGTCATTTTTCTAAAATTCAAGAATCATATTATCAGCAAGAACCAATAAAAGAAATTCGGGTAGTAACTGCGAGAAACAGAACATACATAAGCTGGTGATTCTGGTAAGCCTACAATCCTTGAATCAGTTTCATAAGAATCAGCACCTACATTCACCATACTCTGAAGACGAGCAACTTCTTTCTGGGAATGAAAAGAAGATTTCATAAATGCTCAGAATTAATACAATGCAGGATCATCTGACTTGGGTTGGCTGTTGGCATTTTCCTTAAGATTAATAAAACTCAGTAAACATCTTCATCAGCCAAGGTACACTATAAGAGCAACATCCTTGCATTCTGGTTCTAGAAAAGAGAATTCTTAGCAGGGGGTATACAAAGGCTGTGCCTTAAGCTGAACGAACCTCAGATTCTTCTGCTAAAGACATGATACACAGGACAAACTTGAGAGAAGGAGCCCCCCACACTTTGATGCCAAACTTTCAGTTTAAAGTGTTGAATGGGGGCCTTGCTTATCTTATATCTCTTTCCATCACGTAAAAAGATTAACACCAAAAAGCAAAACGTATGTACAGCCATACAGGAGATGTTTGGGTAACTAATTTGGAAATGGAAATGCGTTTCAAGGCTTGAAAACGTAGCTTCCGTAGTTCCATATGTATATTTTGGTTTGAAAAACATTGTGGTTTTATATCAGCATTCTGATTGAGTGTTTGGCTACTTGACTTATAGTATTTAAGGAAATTAGTTTTTTGGATACACACACACACACACAGACACACACACACACAGACACACACAAACATACACACACACACACACACATACATACATACACACACACACACATACATACA